TCACGTTGTGCTGATGTAAATTACTAGAATGTGCTTGTGCATTTTGAAAGTGCATGTGCATAAACGAAGGAAAATGGTGCAGAATTCCTAACTGTGCATGAACTAACTATCAAAGTACATGTATCAAACTTTGACGTTTGCATGTGCTAAACCTAAAGCGTGCATGTGCAAAAACGTTAAATTGTAGATGTGCATGAATCGAAGTTCAAACGCGCGGGTGTTTCAAGTCCGCAGGTAATAAACTCTAACTTGTGCAAAGATTCTAAATTCGAAGTGTGCAAATATACTAGACTTCAAATTGTGCATGTGCTGAAAGTGAGAATAAAACGTGACAGTGCAATTAGACATTAAAAGTGCATGAAGACATTGTGCAGGTGTGAGACAGTGAATGGTGCAGGTGTTTTAGGACACGTCATTTGTGCAAGTGCTAAGAGGAAGGACACCGAGACCGAGACAACAAACATTAGGAGAGGGAAAAACGCCGGACAAGATCTGCAGGATAAAGAGAGTTCCTACGAGACACCAACACTACGGAGGTATCACTGCCAGGTAGACCCGAGTGCAAGAGATCTAAAACGCTTATAAATGCAAGTGCTGTTTACGGGACAAGTACAGACGAGTGCTAAATGTGATACGTGCGGATGTCAAAGAATGGAAATGTATCAAATTGTTTTCAAAAGTCCAAAAAACTTGAGGGGGAGAGAAAGTGAGCTGAAGCCAAAACACTGTTTACAGTGATTTTCAAAATTCTAAAATTTGCAAGAGGTGTGAAGTGTCAAACAGGACCTAACACGGCGTTGGTTTTACGAACGCGTTCAAAAGTTTTGATGTGTCCACTATCACGAATCGTTAAGAAGTATCGTGCATAAGAGTAAGAAGAATATGCGAAGAGAAAAGGCATGCAACAGCCAGATGCATCCCAGAGGCACACACACACACACACACACACACACACACACACACACACACACACACACACACACACACACACTCTCTCTCTCTCTCACTAACACATATACATACACACGTACTCAAACACACCAGCAAAATGATTATGTAATTGAATCTCAAATATCTAATCGTCAACCCAAAATCGAAGATATTTACAGCGTGACCTTACGATGTCAAAATGAAGCCACCACCTCAGGTACTGCATGATGCTGCATGGTGTTGCCCCAAGAGATACGTCTGGCTGGGAGTTGTCAATGCGAAAAGCGAACGTTCACAAGTGCCATGCATAAGGACAAGAGACCTAAGCAGACGTGCTAGTGCCTGGCGCTCGGGCATTCGTGCATAGTTGGTCTTCGAGAGTGCATGAGGCCTTTGGTTTTGTGTATGAGTGTTCTTGAAATGTGCATGTGAATATCTGTTGCAATAATGCTTAAAGGATGAAATGTTTACTCTGCAAATGAGTGTGTCAATTTCTTCAAGACAATTGCATTAGGTGGAAACTGCATAGTTTAGAGTCACGACTTCTAGAAATTTTGAAGAGGTAAATTTTGTTGCAAATCCTTATCACTTCGGTGATGTGCCTAATCCTATAATTATTAGTTTTATATTTCTCCAAACACTCCATAACATTTCACACTTACAGAACATTGCATCTCATTTTCTCCTTTGCTCTTTTTATTTACCCCTTCTGTCTCCTCCAAGTACATTACTCGTCTCAGAAATAATTCAGCGGTGAGTCGGTAAATTACGTAAACCTTGATATGACATTACGTAAGTCGAGGGTAAAGTTGTAGGGAAGTGTGGGGTTGGGTTCGGGGGTTGAGCCATGATCAGACTCACCAGGTTGCTATGATGGAGCCACCCCAGTCTGCTCGTTCCTACAGTACCTCAACCAATATTTAGCAGTGACTGTACGAAAAGCTATTGATTGTACCCTTATTGCTTTCGGTCGCGTGCGCGGGGCCCCGACCGTACACTTGAGCCCTGGCCTCTTGCAAGCCGGTTTTGGGGCTCAGCCTGCACCTGACCCTGTCCACTTTCGGGTCGCACGAACGGTCTCCACTGAACGTCGCATTCTCCTACAATCCGAGGCGAGCCCGCACACGACGCCAACCGGCTCTTGCCTCATTATTGCTGACATGTGGTGACACTGGCGCGTCTACACTAAGACAACACTACATATAGCAACATTAACAAGCTCTCAGCGCCCTCCTCCGTGGCCGCAGGTTGTTTTGAAAGTGTCTGCTCATTAAATACAAGTATCAGCCTCGAGGTACGTTCTCCTCGGGAAGGAGAGTGTACCTCAAGTCACCACAATATACATTTGTGTCGAGGACGTCCTCGGCGTAACATAAGGTTCCTCTAGCAACCATTGCTGGTGGCTCTCGGCCGGGTCAGGAGTGGAAGTCCTGCTTTGTACTACCAAGTCTTCTCAAGAATCCCTCGTGACCTTCTTCTAAGAGTTCTTCCTCAGTGAAGTGAGGTCGCTGAAGGTCACCTTCGAAGCATCTACTTCAAGACTGCCCATTCCTTCCCCTACGACGCTGAGATGCCTCGGCAACGGGTCAAGGGGCTTTACAAGTCGTAGCCAAGACGATCAAGTTCTTCCAGCATGAAGTCGATGTCCTCCCGCCTGACGGCCTGAGAGGAAATGATGTTCCTGAAGAAGTTGGGGTGGTGGTCCAGGGGCTGGTAGCCGATCATGAGGGTTCCCGCGGTCATCATGCGGCCCTTGAGGATAGGCTGGATCTGTAGACGGGAAAAGGGGCTCAGCAAAGGCAAAGTCTACTCGCTTAAACAAGGTAGAATGAAATTCGGTAAAACAGGACAGATTCTCCTCTGAAATTCATGCATTACATCTCCATCACGACACGAAAAGACTACGTAGCACTTTCTAGCAACCGAACATCCCCTTCCATACACCCACAACACAGACCAACATCACCAGAACTTACCTCTCCCAGGAGCTTATGGCGTTCGGGTCCGGGCTTCATGGAGCGGAGGCGGTGGGGGACGTACCAGAAGCACACGTTGGTGCACTCGGGCTCGTCGTTGAGGAATTCGAACTTGTCTGGGTGCTGCTTCATGCGCCTAACCAGGTATTCCGTCATCTCGAACAGATGGTCGATGTGCTTCTCGAAACCTTCGTCGCCCTGCAAGGAATCGGCGCCATGACAAGGAGGGAGTCATGCTGATAACCAAGGAGAACGGCTAGATCAGTAGCAACTCGAGGTGTCATGGCGTCTGATTCTATTTTTGGATAAAAGCTCATGGGGTTTATTTTGATGACGTCACAAAAGTTACGGATGCTTTGTGAATATGGTCGATCATTTTGGTCTTTCCATTTTTTTTAAAAAGGATGGAAAATAGTGAGTTTATTATATTTTCATTGAACAATCACCAAAACAGACGCCATGACACCTCGATTTGCTACTGATCTAGCCTTTCCCGATAACCAAGACCATCGGAAGGAGTCTCCATAATCAGGAAGAGCAGCTTCAATTAATAAGAAAGAACGAAAGTAATTACTAAGTAAGAAAAAATATATACTCAAGGAAGAAGAACTATAATGAATCATGAAGAGCAGCTTTAATTAATCAGAAATAAAAATAATTAGTAAGAGAAAAAAAATATCATTAACAAAGAGCAACAACAATGAGTTAGAAAGAGAGACCGAAGTGTTTTTATAGTTATATGGAAACCCCAACAATGAAAATAAGAGCACGTGGTCTGGTAACATTCTCCGACAGATGCCCACCTCCCTGCACAGCCCGAGAGGGTTATATAGGGCTTCTGTGAGGAATCATATCAGGGGGTTCAAAGGTCCCCTCTCTTTCTGTTTCTCCTTCCTCCCTTCATCCCTTATTTCCCTGCCCCTTCTCTCTTTTTCCAGTCCCTCCCCTCCCTCTCCCCCTTCATCTTTCAAATTCTTGTACCTCCCTGTCTCCATCTCTCACCTCCCTCCAATCCTCCATCCCTCCATCCTCCCCCCCCCCTGCCCTTCCCTCCAATCTTCCATCCTTCCCCTCCTGCCCTTCCCTCCTCCATCCGTCCTTCCCCTCCCTACCCATCCCTCCCTCCCTCCATCCTTCCCCTCCCTCCCCTCCTCCCTCCCTTCCTTCCCTCCCACAACCACAGCCCACAACCACGCACCTTGGAGCGCCACATCAACCACAGCTTGAAGATGTCGTTGTGGCGGCCGCACTGGATCACCTTATCTCCCGTGTCGTAGTTGACGTCGTAGGGCTTGTCTTGCTGGAAGAGGTAGTCGGCGCACATCTGGTTGCAGGATATCAACAGGCCCTGGGGGTGGGGAGGGGTTAGGGGTGGTGGGGAGGGGCGCTGGTTTATGGCTTGGTTTTGTATTTTTTTTTGTTGAGTGTTGTGATTTCTTTATGTTGAGGTTGTCTTGTTGTTATGATACTAATGACGATACTGTTATTATTATTTTTGTTATTATTATCATTATTGATTATCAATATTATTGTTACCATTATCGTTATCATTATCATTACAATTATCATCATCAATATTACTATCATCACCATCAACATTATTCTTGTTATTATCGTCATAATTATCATCACCATCGCCATCATTATTATCATCATTATCATCACCATTCCTATTATTTCTATCCTTACAACTATCACTCATTCACCACAACCAACGAAATTCCCTGCTTGATTTGCTTCATAAATTGCACTCCTGATCACCCGGTCACGCAGACACCATAAGGTCTCTTAAGGAAACCGTCTGTTTTTTTCGGCCGATTTCGAAAAAAAATCTACCACAGAGATCAGGCCAGAGTCTAAAAAAAAGTGTCTCATCAAAATCGGCAAGAAATATCGAAAAAAACTGCACTGTTATCTTCATCAGCATCATTCGCCCATTAAGAGTCACAGATGTTAATGAAGTGAAATCCTCAACCACTCACGTCCTCTTTGAAGTGCACGGTGGAGCACTGGAGGAGGACGCCCATCAGCTTGTGTGGATTCCAGGTGAGCGAATCGGAGCGCTCCACGCCCGCCATCTTGTGACGCTGGTTCTTGGAGAGGAGGACTCCGCCGCCCCAGGCAGCCTGTGGGGGAGGGGCGTCAGGAGGGGGGGTTTTGTTTGTTTTGTCTGTTTGTATGGTTGTGTGTTTGGATGTGTTTTTCTTTTCTCTACGTGTCGATATTTATTATTTCTCGTTTGTTTGTTTGTCTGTCTTTCTCTCTCTGTGTCTCTGTCTCTCTCTACCCGTCTATCTATCTACCTAGCTATCTATCCGGGATTTTGTTTATTCCGTATGTCTGTCACTCAGTTTTTTTTTTTATTCCCGATCCCTCTATCATTCACTATTTCATCCTTCTGCCCACCTTTTCACTGATCATCTTATCTCAAAAAAGAAATAAATAAAAAAAATAAGAGAGAAAAAATTCCACATTTATTTAACGCATCTATAGAGGCAATGGAATACAAAGGGATCAGAACTCCTTTACGCGGACTTACATCAACGTGGAACCAGAGTTTGTGCTTCTCGCAGACGTCAGCGATGGCGTGAAGGGGATCGAAGGCGCCCATGACGGTGGTCCCGGCGGTGGCGCAGACGAGGAAGGGAATCTTGCCCTTTGCCTTGCTCTCCTGGACGAGGCGGTCGAGCTCGGCTGGGATCATGCGGCCTCTGGCGGGGACGGAGAGGGTGTGAAGGGGATGGGATGCTACTTATACGATGCTCATTTTTTTTTATTCTATTTTATTTCATTTATATTTGTCTACGAGGGAAAATGTGTCTTTACATATAGCGAGAATCCCCGCCGTTGTGAATATATAACAACGATGCTTGGATAACAATAAAAGAGTGATTTTAGTTCGCTGAGTGATCCGTTTAGTGAGACCTGACCACGTGACCGACCACGACTTACTTTTCATCAACGGGAACTTCAATGCAGTTGTCAGTGCCAAGACCCATTGCAGCTGCGGTGCCCATCATGGAGTAATGGCTCTGGAAAAGGCAAAGGAGGCAAGTCGAAGAGTTTTTCCTTTTTTCGTTTTCATTCCGTGCAAAAAAGAAATTCGTGTTCGCTTTCATTTCGCGCACAAAAAAAAAAAAAAAAAAATCGTGTGTATGGATAGCACGAAGGAGTGTTTGTTTAATGGACATTTATTTTCTGTGTGTGTGTCTGAATGACGACTGCATGGCTAAAATTAAAAGGATGATTTCACAGCTGTAGTGATATTGCATGAGGATCAACAGACGAAACAGACGGATAAAAAATAGTATAGGGATAACAGAGATAAGAAGAAGAATAGGAAACGGATACCTAGATGGAGAATAATGATGAATATGAGTGAATAAAAAAACAGAGGCTGATAAGAGGAATATTTATCACTCAATAACCCCAACCTGAGAACAGAACGCTAAAAATGCATTTAAATTCAGAATATAAGTCAATAAGTTAAAATAAGTTAATAAATGAATAAATGAATGAACAAATAACTAAATGAATAAATAAATAAACTGATTGATAAGCAAACAAATAAACATGAACATGAAAAAAATAGATGAATGGAAAAACAGATAAATGAATGAATAAATGAATAAATAAAACCAGATAAACGAATGAATAAACAAACAAATAAAAAAACAAGTAAAATAATGAATGAAAAACCTGATAAACGAATGAATAAACAACAATAAAGAAAGAACAAATAAACAAGTAAAAGAAAATAAAACAGATAAAACGAATGAATAAACAAACAGAGAAACGGATCATCATCCCGACAAAACGAAACAGACAAACGGATGAATAAACAGACGGAAAAGCGAGCCTCGGCAACCCACGTGGAGCGACGTGAACATGCACAGTTCGCCGGGAAGAGCTCGCAGGCCCTTCTTCTTGTACTCGGGGAACATCTTGTGCCTGGCGACGAGGGCGGCGTACAGGTTGCTGATGGAGCCGCCCGGAGCCAGGATGCTGTCGCCCTGCTTGTAGCCGATGATCTCTCTCATGTGGCGCATTGTGACCTGTGGGGAGAGGGGAGGGGCGGGGTTGTAGTGGTGGTGGTGGGTTGGTTTATTTTTGTTTTTTGTAGGTTTGGATTTTTATTTATTTATTTTTGTGTTTTTTTTATTTATTTTTTTAATCTCTTGCTTCCTTACTCTAACTCTTACTCTCTCCCTCTATCATCTCTCTCTCTCTCTCTCTCCCTTTCTTTCTTACTCTAACTCTTACTCTCTCTATCATCTCTCTATTTCTATCATCTCTCTCTCTCTCTTCCTTGCTTTCTTACTCTAACTCTTACTCTCTCTCTCTTTCTCTTGTTCGCTCACTCGCACAAGGAACAGTTTTTATAACACACACACACAAACACAACACAACTCAAACAAACGTACGCACAAACACCAAGCCACAAACGAACACCGACATACCTGTTCCATGAGGATGAAGACTGGAGCAATTTCGAAGGTGAACATGTTGGTGTTTGCGGCGGCGGTCAGCCACTCGCCGGCCAGGGACACCACTTCCATACCACATGACAGCTGGTTCATGAAGCGAGGGTGACCTGTGAGAAACGAGGCAGGGTTAGAGTGGGCGGAAATGACCTGGGAAAGCGACCTGTGGCGTGTAGAGAGAGCGCGGGGTCAATGCATCTTCTGATTTTATTTCGGGTAGGTGTCTTAGAGCTGAAATTATCTGATTCAATTACTTGTAAGATGAAAAGAAAAGAAAAAATGTGATGCCTCATTTGGTACAGGTAAACAAAGCGTGAATTTACATATGTATCAACAATATATGGACGAGTGAAAATCATGAAAACTATTGTAATTCGGGACCATTCATCTCTAAATTCATCCCCCAGGTAAATCAGTCCCCCCTCACACCGTAAAGAAAACGGGTCCCAGTCCATCACAACACACGATTAAATTACTTGTAGGATGAAAAGAAAAAAAAATTGATATATCATTTGGTACAGATAAACAACACGCGAATCTACATATGTATTATCAATATATGGACGAGTGAAAATTATGAAGACAATAGTAATACGGACCATTCACCCCCCGGGCAAATTAGTCCCCCCTCACGCCTTAAAGAAAACGGGTCTCCAGTCCATCGCAACGCGCACGTATTTTCCCGATCATTAAACCACGTTATTTTACGACTGCATTCTCCTCACTTGTCCGGCAACATCTGAGCTCTATCAGCGTCGTAAATTTCTGACTCGAGACGCATTGCCGCACTCCTTGGCGTCGCAATGGCTACGTCACTCGTAAAGAAACTATATATTATACGTCTCCTCGGGGTGATGGGTCAGTCAGGCGCCGGTGCTGGTGCCGAATGGACGGTGCTCTGCCATAATTTCCTCCGATTAAGTACCAATGATAAGTGGTTATAGTAGCGCCGGGGAAAGAGTCCTGCCGCTTGTCTATTCATTTATTCCGTTTGTCTATCAATTTACCCCTATCTGCCCCTCCCTCCCCCTTTCTCTCTCTCTCTCTTCGCGCTCTCCTCCCCTCGGTCCCTCGACCCTCATCAAGCTCCCGACCTCCCACCACATCCCCAACTCGTCCCCCATATCCAGCCTCCCCTCTCCTAGCCTCTTCCACTCACCCCATCACTTCACAGCCTCATCCCTCACTCCATCCCTCTCCCCTCACCCCATCCCACCCTGACATCATCATTCGACCCCATCCGACCTTCCTCCCCCGCCCCCCCCCACCCCGGACCCCCCTCCCCGCTCCGTCCCCCATCCCAAGACCCCCACCCCATCCCCGGACCCCCTCCCCGTCCCATGCAGACCCCCATCCCCTCCCGTTTCAATTACATGCTAAATCCTTCCCATTACTCCAGCCCACCATTGTTTCAGGGAGCGGAGGCCAGACGGGCTACTGCTCTTTATTTATTTTTTTAGGCTGTGTTTTTCTTTATCTTTTTCTCTCTCGCCTTTCCCCCTTTCTCTGTCTTTCCCCTCTTTTATGTTGTTTGTATGCTTGTTTTGCGCTTTCCGGTTCGTCTTTGTTTTGATGACTTTTTTTAAACAGCTGATTAAGATGAATTAATTGCAATTGCATTCATGTTTTTTAACTGATTTATTGGATTTTATCTATCAGTGTCTACATTCATACTACATTATTTACTTATACTTATACTTATATTTTTTACGCACAAATATGCTATTCACACATTTTCGTGTAACGCCTGCATTTCTTGGAATATTTTTAGTTATAAACGGCGTCTCATTATCTCATAATGGCCTCATAAACTTCCAACAGCGTGAATGCTGAAATCTCATTAGTTTCTGATGACGGAAAGTAAAAATGTACTTTATATATTCTACTATTTTTTCTTTGTTTTTTTTTTTTTTCTCATTGTTTCGTTTTTTTTTTTTTCTTTGTTTTCTTATTTTTTCTGTAATTTCAATTATTTTCTTCGTTATTTTGTTTTCAAAATGATTTCACTCTCTTTACTCTATTTTCTTTAACTTTCTCTTCATCGTCCTCGTTTCAACCTCCGTCTGTTTCCTTGTCTATTTTGGGCTTTGTGTCTGTCTATTTATCCTCCAATCGTTCTTTTTCCTTTTTATGTTGATGTTTCCACTACTTTCTCTCCACTCCCTCCCTCCCTCTCTCTCTTTTCTTCTCCCCCTCTCTCTCTTGCTCTTCTCCTTCTCCTCCTCCTTCTCTTTCTCTTTTGCTCTGCTCCTCCTCCTCCTTCCCTCTCTCTTTTGCTCTCCTCCTCCTCCTCTCTCCCTCTCTCTCTTGTTCTCTTCCTCCTCCTCTCTCCGTCTCTCCATCCCCGAGGTCATCCACCCTGACCTAACGCTCACGGGTCACTCACGCGCTCTCCCACCCCGCCCTTTTTCCTCCCCCACCACCACCCTTCTTTCCCTACCCTCCTGCCTCATCCTTCCCCTCCCTTCCCTATCCCTCCACTCGACTTCATCCCCCTCCCCTCCCCCTCTCTCCTCCCTCCCCCCCCCCCTCCTCCCCCTCCTTTCAAGCCCCCAAAAGGAAGAGGAATCTGCCCAATTGATAGAGACGGTAAGTGCTCTCTTGGGAGTCTTATCCCGCCGCGCCATATTTCACTAGCCGGCTAGGGGATTTCCCCGAGCTTCCGGGGAGATTTGGGGATTTTTTTTCGAGGGGGAAATGGTGGGGTTTAGGGGGTGAGGCTGGGGTACTGGAGATGGGGGCGGGGTGGGTGGGTGGTTGTAAGGGTGGGTGGAGAGGATGGTGAGGGTGGAGAGGAGTGAGTGAGGTGGGTGAGGTGGGTGAGGTGAGGGTGGGTGGTGAGGGTTGAGGTGAGGGTGATGATGACTGGGTGAGGGTGGGTGAGTGATGATGAAGGTGGGTGGTGAGAGTGAAGGAGAGAATGGGGATGACAGGGAATGAGCGAAGGGTGGGAATGAGTGGTAGTAAAAGGAAGAAGGGAAGAAGGGAAGGGAGGAAGGAAGGGAGCTTAGGTTGGCGGTAAAAAGGGGCAGTAGATGTGACCTCTTCTTTCTCTCTCTCTCTCTCTTTCTCTGTTTATTTGTTTTGTTTGCGGTTGATTTACTCGAACCTTTTTTCTTATATTATGTATATTTCCCCCCCACATTGTCTTCACCTATATATTTTTTTCTCTCTCTCTGTCTTTCGGTCACTCTATATCTCTCTCTCCATCTCTCCCCCTCTCCCCTTCATCTATCCATCTTTCTCTCCTTATCCGCCCTCCCCCCTTCTCTCCCCTCCCCCTCCTCCCCCAAGGGATTGTCCTAAGACACTCCGTTTTTTCTGTTCATTCTGTCGGAAAGAATATCGGCTTGCAAAACGACCTTTTTGTTTGATTCTTTACTTATTTCAGTATTTATCATTTGTTTAGGTATTTTTTTCTTAGCTTATTGTCATGTTTTAATTATTTTTGTTCGACAGATGCAAATAACACCATATTTTGTTTGCTGTTAATTTTGTTTATTACTAATACCATTCCCGTTATTGGTTTTGGCTCTGGTTATCACAGTCATTATTGTCATTATGTAAATATGAAAATCGAAATATATATATATATTATATATATATATATATATATATATATATATATATATATATATATATATATAATATATATATATATATATATATATATATATATATATATATATATATATAAGACAGTAATGATGATAATAATAATAACGATATTTAAAGTATTATTTAGTAGAATCAATAATAATAATAATGATAACAATGATAATAATAATAATAATAATTACTATCATAATTATCATTACCAAGGAGGTCTTGTTTTTGGTAGCGTTGGTTAGTTCGTCTGATCGTTTGTTCTAGCAGGGTAAGTCAAAAAGTTGTGAATAGATTTTTATGAAATGTTTACCAGAGGCGTGTCTTATCCTACGTGGATTCCAGTACATTTTAGTTTTGATCCGGATCCAGGATTTTTTAATGACTGCATGAATTTCCCCTATTGCAAATACAACTGAAAAAGTTATGTAAAGACACACACACAAAAAGCCAGAGGTGTGTCTTAAACTAACTTTGATTCCAGTAAATATTAATATCAATAATGAAACTAACAGGAATAATAACGATAAGTAAACAAATAGTTGACCTGACAATAAAACAATACGACGAAAAAATAACAGCTATAAAATAAGAACAAACCACAAAATAAAATAAAAAACGACAGATAAAATAAGATGAAATAAATCAACGAACACAAATTCGAACCATTGGACATTTTTCGCGCCCTTTCCTAGTGACGTCATCGGGTTCCCATCTGGCCTCTCCCAGCGGCTGGCGAATGGAGGAATGAAGTCACAGGATTCTGAATTTCGAGTCTTTTGCTTTGGGGGTGAAGGGGGAGCGAGTGGGGGGGGGAGAGGGAGGAGTGGGAAGAGAGGGAGGGAGGAGGGGGAGGGGAAGTAGACCCGAAAAAACATGTAAGAAGATTTGGAGATACGTTGGGTACGAACTTTTTGATGGACGGAGAAGTCGCGGGTTTTCGCTTTTCTGTTTTGTGTGTATGGATGTGTGCGTGCTTGTGTATTGTATGTAGATGTGTGTATGTTGTCTGTTTCTTTGTTTATGTATGTTATTAATCGTACCGTCGATATGTGAATGCCGATGCATATGTTGTATGTGTGTTGTATTTATTCATACATTCATACATACACGTGTATATATATATATATATATATATATATATATATTATATATATATATATATATATACACTCAGAACTGCGTGTATATTCGTTTAGTTTAGTCCTCTATTTACCACCCTAGCGTGTATATCTGTATGAATGCTGGCGGAGAAGCCCCATTGATTCCGCACATGGGCGTGTGGGCGCGGCGAGGGCGGCGCCATAGAAACACGTTATCAGCGGAAGCCAAACTGTCCCGTGGGATCTCCACCGCTCCCTCGCTACATCATCGTCTCTCCCTCTAATTTATCATATTTTCGTCTGTCTACCCCTTTCATTCGTCTATGTCCTGTTCGCCTCTTGTTTACTCCTCTTTTTCTAATCTTATTTTTTTTCTCTCTCTGTCGTTTCTAATTCTCCCT